TTGCAGAAGGCTTCATGTTTTTACTCCAATCTCATTTCATGACATACATTTTAGTCTGGCACCAGTTTGACTAGTTGCTACAATGTAAAGTTTATATAATAATAACATGCTTACTATTATGAGTGGACATGTCTTACCTTAAAAATCTTTCTCATCTTCAAATTGCGTTCTTCTAATTCTTCTGAGGTAAATCCAAGGTAAACAGCACAGCACAAACACAACGTGTCTTCCAAATTCGATGAAAAGCAGAGGAGTACTTTACTGAAGTCTCTGATTCTCTGATTCTTCATGTGGATTATTTGCATGTCAATCGCTTGTGCGCTCGTGGGTGTGGTCACATTAGAGAAATGAACACGGACTGAAGAAACTGTACATGTCGTTGCTTTCATATGGATTACTTAGAGAATATTTGTTTTTGATATAATTTACATCATTTGAAAAAAGAGACTTCAAGCTTTGTAAAGACATGTCTCAAGTCTGTATGACAAACATTCGCTGAGTTACAGTTAATTTTCTGTCCCGTTTCAGAATGAACTTCACATTGAGAGAGACGGCAGAACGCGCATCATGTTTATTTTCTTTATTTTACGAAAAACACAACATTTTGTTTTTATTGTGAGTGTACACAAATAAAAGAAGACATTTAACAGTTTTGAATGATGTTTAACACTTATATGTAAAATCAAAATCAACAGAGTATTTTGAGTTTATTTGGCACTGATAAGAAAAAAGCGAGCTGGTATCGCCGGCGCGACCGCCGACCCCAGGGGGTTAATTTAGTTTATTTATATATAGCCGCTCTGGAGTAAACCGTGATGTCATCGTCCAGCTCAGTTCAGTTCTTGTATTATAGTGTCAATGCAGGCAAATCAATATTATTGTTGAATATTAAATTAAATGTTAAATGTAATGTCTCCAACTAAGCAAGCCAAGCCAATGGCAACAAAGGTGGAAAAAGGTGACAGTGGCATAGAACCAAAACTCCATCAGGTGGCAGAATGGAGAAAAAAAACCTTGGGAGAGCCCAGGCTCAGTCGGGGTACCCGTTCTCCTCTGGCCAATGAATGCACAGTGTATGATTATGTTTCAGGCAGCATTATAGGTCAGAAGTCAGATTAGTTTGAAACAATCAGAATATTATCCAGTTCCATCTGTTTGAAGATTGGAGTCACGCCGGTATGGAGACGGTTTGATGAGGATCAGTGCCGATTAGGGGTGGAAGAAGTCACGGTTCGGTTCATACCTCGGTTCAGACATCACGGTTCGGTACGATTTCGGTACAATGGAGGGAAAAGCAAAACAAAAATGCAGAAGGCATTGTATTTTTTAAATAAGTTTTTTTTAACAAAGACAGAATCAGTTTATTTGTAGTGCACTGACAATAGTTTTATATAATTAGTTTATTAATTAAATTAATAAAAAGACAAAAAGACCTTGCGATATGTTTGGTAATTGTACCTGAATTAATTTTAAATTATTTTGCTATATTTCAGATCAATATATTTGTTTTCCTTAATTTTAATTAACATTATTAATTGACAATGTAACATTATTCTCTTCTGAATTATAAATGATTGATTTCTGTATAAAATAATACTACCATTAAAAACACATTCGATTTTCTTTTTTTAATCAATGTTGAATGTGTAAGATTAGTGCTCCGAGGACAAGAAATGGAAACCAATGCAATATGACGAATGTCCAAAAGATGGAACACACAGACTGTTTTGAAATGGAGTTTACAGTGTGACAAAAGCACAATGTTGTGTTTTATTGCGAGTGTACACAAATATAAGTAAACACTTTGCAGGTTTAATGATCTGAACAAAATGACGGAGTATGTTTTTTATGTTTCCACTGTTCGATCGCCTCTCTCTCTCTCTCTCTCTCTCTCTCTCTCTCTCTCTCTCTCTCTCTCTCTCTCTCTCTCTCTCTCTCTCCTCTCTCTCTCTCTCTCTCTCTCTCTCTCTCTCTCTCTCTCCTCTCTCTCTCTCTCTCTCACACACACACACACACACACACACACACACACACACACACACACACTCCAGCATTGCAATCTTGACATCGCTGCCTGTTCATTATGTGGTCACGGTCACACCAAACGCGAATAGAGCGTCAAATTCGCGTGTTGTTCGACGCTAGTCCAAAGCGAATAGGACGCGCGTATAAAGCCAACGTTTGAAGTGAACGCGCGTTCAGAGCTAAGCCGATGGAACAGATTATGTGTCCCTAAAGAACCCGCGTATCTAACAGTAGTTCCGCATTACATTAATTAATTTGCACGCGAGTTTTATTTATTTTTATACCGTGTATTCTCCGTGTAAATTCGTGCACCGAACCGTGACGCCCGTACCGTTTCGGTTCGATACGAATACATGTACCGTTCCACCCCTAGTGCCGATGGCTGTCGTGTCGATGAGGCCTTCACAGTGGAGAGTCTAGTTGACAACCTCTGCTGACACTTCAGGGATGCGTTGTGGTCGTGTCTAGGTGCAGGTCCTCCATCTGGTCTGGATACGGCCCGGATCTGGCTGACTACATCATGCATTGCGGTCGTGTCTAGGTGCAGGTCCACCATATGATCTGGATACGGCCCAGATCCGGTTGATTACAGTAAACCTCGGAATAAGCAAAAAGACTAACATTAGCGTAGATGCCATTCTTCTTATGATGTAACGAGTACATCGGGTGTTATAGGAAGTGTTCCCGGTTCCTAATTTATGCAGCCTAATAAACATTTAACTGATTTGAATAATAATAATGTATAATTTTCTATTTGTATGTCAGGTTAAAGAGATGTGTTTTTAGTCTAGATTTAAACTGACAGAGTGTGTCTGCTTCCCGGACAATGTTAGGAAGACTGTTCCTGAGTTTAGCTGCTAAATAGGAAAATGATCTACCGCCAGCAGTCGATTTTGATATTTTAGGTATTATCAACTGGCCAGAGTTTTGAGATTGTAATAGACGTGAAGGACTATAATGTACAAGCATTTTACAAGCATTTTATCTTCGTTATATGTTCTGTAAAAGAAAATTCTTATATAGATATATCTGCGACAGGCTCATATCGGCTGATTAAATCGGCAGACCGATAAATCGGTCGGGCTCTACCAATCACCTTCGAGTGTAAACTAAACGAGCCAATGCACATTGACGTGCAAGCTTCAAATCGCTGCTGCAAGGCAAGCACGTACTGGTCCGTACGGACAGCACCGCGGCCGCTACATTAGATTTTACTTAGCTACATGTGCGCCTGTGTTTTGTGTCGTAACTCCGTGAGAAATATCTTGTGATCGACGCAATGGATTATGTTGATTTTGGACTTATTTTTATCGTGAGAATCTGCTGTAAATAATGGTTTACAATCACCATTGACATTTGGAGCATGTGTCATGAAGTTACAAGCGAGAACGTGACATAAATGTCGTATCCATATATTATTTACATATGGGTCTTGCAGGGCTTCACTTACAAAAACATGTTTAGTCAAAGCCCAAAACAGTTATACTTGCTGTATTCTACTCCTTAGGCTTGGTGTGTTCCTGGCTTTATGCTTGGCTTGATTTGATTGCATGTAAATGGTTGAAGCCTATAGCCTATATAGGTCGCATCAATTTAAAAAGAAAAATAAGGGGTCGCTCTTAAAAAAGTTTGAAAGCCACTGATCTACCCTCCCGTTGCATGTTGCAACTCACCCGCCATCTCCTCCTCTGGAGTCAGACGCATTTGAGGTAGCTTCGTGCCACTCATATTCCGGGCATGCTCAATCGTACAGCTGACGAGCTCTCACGACAGCCCAAGCTTTCCGAGAGAGTGGAGACTCCATCCCCAGGTGTTCCAGCTGATCTTGAGACGCTTCTGAGCCGCACAGGTAGACCTGTTTGCCTCTCTGGACACGTCCCATTGTCGGTTGTTTTACTCCCTCCCCCAGTGAGCCTACTCGCATAGACACTGTGCAAAGTCAGGGAGGACGAGGAGCAGGTCTTGCTAGTTGCGCCCTACTGGCCCAACTGGACCTGGTTCCCAGAACTAATGCTCCTCGCGACATCCACTCCCTGCCACATTCCTCTGAGGTAAGACTTGCCTTGAGGTAAAACCCCCCGGAGACGCCTGATCAGGGCTGTGCTTTCCTTCCTGCAGGAAGGGTTGGAGCTAAGGCTGTCTCCCTCCATCCTGAAAGTGTATGTTGCTGCTATTGCCGCACATCATGATGCAGTAAATGGTAAATCTGTGGGAAGGCACGACCTGATCATCAGGTACCTGAGAGGCACAGGAAGGTTAAATCCTCGGACAGGCCAACTCTAACATTATCCTGAGACCCCCTGTCCGGATACGTGCCCAAGGTTCCCACCACTCCTTTTAGGGACCAGGGGGTAAACCTGCAAGCGATGCCCCTGGAGGAGGCAGACCCAGCCCTTGCTTTTCTCTGTCCCGTCCACGCTTTATGCCTGTACATTGACTGAACGCAGAGCTTCAGGACCTCAGACCAGCTCTGTGTCTGTTATGGAGGGCAGCAGAAGGGAAAGGCTGTCTCTAAGCAGAGGTTGGCCCACTGGATAGTGGATGTCATCTTCTTGGCGTACCAGGTCCAAGACGAGCCGTGCCCCCTTGGGGTGAGAGCGCACTCTACCAGGAGTGTTGCTTCCTCATGGGTGTTAGCACACAGCGCCTCGCTGTGATTTAATAATCTTTGTGTAGAGCCAGTGTACTCCAGGATTGTACAAACTTGAATGTGCATTGCACATGCACTTTTTTATATATCCGCTCTGCGGGGCAGAGTTCACGATGCAAATCTTGCACTCCAATGTGCATTGGCTCGTTTAATTTACACTCGAAGGTGATTGGGCTCTAAGGCGAGTTCCCAATTCGTCAGTTCAATTCTGACGTAATTTCTCTGTTCCTTCCTTCAGGGAACGGTGTTTACAATAGTAACCTAGACGTTTATGTGTACTTTCAGTTCTAATTGGGGTTCTAAATGTGTTTTTATTCTTGCACAGGTGTCCTGTTATGGCAGGGGGTCTTTTCTCTATAGATAAGAGCTATTTCTATGAGCTGGGGGCATACGACCCAGGCCTGGATGTCTGGGGTGGTGAAAACATGGAAATCTCTTTCAAGGTAAATTAGCAAAGGTGCATTAGCTGAGTCCAGAGACCAAAGATTTAAAGGGATCTTTTTTTCTTTTTCTTTTTTATAAAATAGTTCATTGTATTGCATTTTTGGCCACTTTCTCTCTCTCTCCCTCCTTTTTTAAAATTATCGAGCACAGTCTTGTAGACATATCAGCATGGACTTTTAATGAAAAACAGAAATATGACTATGTTTGGTCTAAAACTGGGGGAATTTTCTTTTTATATGAGTCCTTTTAAACTTTTATTGAGCTATACTTAAATAATTGTATAGATTGCCCAATGGTAGCAGGTAATGTGTTACTTGTGCTGTAGATCTGGATGTGTGGCGGCGAGATTGAAATCATCCCCTGCTCACGTGTCGGCCACATCTTCCGTGGCGATAATCCTTACAAGTTCCCTAAAGACCGTGTGAAGACAGTCGAGAGAAACTTGGCCAGGGTTGTAGAGGTGTGGATGGATGAATATAAAGAGATATTTTATGGTCATGGCTACCACCACCTCCTGGACAAAAGTGTGACTGATATAGGAAATCTGACAGAACAGATTCAGCTGAGAGAAAAACTCAAGTGTAAAAGCTTTAAATGGTACTTGGAGAATGTGTACCCAGACCTGGACGCCCCTCTGGTCAAAGCTGAAGGAGTGGTAGGTAGAAAATATCTAAACTTTAGGGGACATTTATTATAGAAGATATATATTTGATTTGCCTAATTCTTCTGTAACTAATCTTAGAGACATTCTTCTTGTATTGTTTGTTCGTTGTTTTCTGTTTAGAAATTTACATCTCTTTTTTCAGATTTTTAATGTTGGAGCCAGAAAATGTTTGGTATTTCAAAATGGCATATTCTCTTTTGATAAATGTGAGCTCACAGATAAGGTAAATCCAATGCAGATGTATTAGGTATTCTATTCTGCTGTATAATCTTTCATCATAACAGCACTGTTCTGCTTTCTCATGCCTCACAGAGTCAACAATTTAGCTACACCTGGTTAAGGATGCTTCGACAGAACACTTCCTGCTTGGCTCCTCAGGAAACACAGATTATCATGGAACCATGTGACAACACTAAGCCACATCTCCGCTGGATGCACAAGTCTGGTAAAGTTTTGGTAAGTCCTGGCCAAAATACAATCTCTAGGTATAGCATCATTGATACCCTTCAGTCGTGACTTATTCACCATACATCACTAGCTTCGAGTACCTTATTGCTTTTATAAAACCACACAATATAAATATTAAAGCCAAAAATATGTATTAATGCTACTTTCATGAAGTAAAATCACTAAATGCTTTCCTTCCACTGGAAAAAAATAGTCGCTGACCATGAACAGCAACAAAATATTCCTAATCCTATGTGTAATATGCATCATCTCATGCGCTCAAATAAAACAGATTAGGAACCCTTCTCATTGTGTCTTTTTTTTTTTTTTAAACACAATATGTGATATTTCCTCATAAAAATACAGCTGCTTATCTCTCAGCATGAGAAGTATCACTGTGGTGATATCGACACGGTTCTCTTTAGTTGAGGCTCAGCAGTGAGAACGTCGCTCCAGCACTTTCTTTGATTTAAGTTTGACCTCTAGTAGCTCTGTAGTGAGCTTTCACACACAGACATAATTTCCCTTGATTTGAGACGTAAAATAACGTCCTACACCCTTGTTTCAGTTTCTTTCAATATAAAAGTCTTTGTATCGAAGTAAAATAATGACAAATGTTTTTGAAACAAAAAAGCTTGTTGAATTGCACTATTTGAAAAAATATGCATTGCAGTAACCCTTCTTGCATTTTAATGCATTGTATTTTTAGGGCTTGCATTTTTATGGGCTGAAATTCAACATAGTTGTTTAAGCTGTGAATATTTCAATTCAAAACATTTCACACACGTTTTCATTATTAAAAATTCAATAATCCATATTCACCTTTCAGATTTCACTTCCAAAATATAAATTCTGTTTAAAAATACAACCTATAATATTCGACAGGCAATTTTCCGATTTATTTCGCTTTCACAAATTCAGTGGTTCAAATTCTACAGAAAATTAAACATTTGACATCCGGGAACGGCAGGAATATCAGTAGATTGCCGAATGATAATCTCCATAGCTGTAAGTCGACATCACCAGCAGGGGGTGCAAGTGCGTGTTGACGAAGAAGACTAGAGCAACGGGTGAGAGAGTCATTCATTTACAAAAACGGATTTACAGAAATGGAGCAAGTGGTAAGTATTTGTGATGATTATCAGGACCAGTTTATATATGGGAAAGCTGATAAAGACACAAAAGCTTTGTTTACATTTAAGTCTTCACAGTTAGTTTTGCACATGTAAGCAGCTTTCTCTACCGTGAACGAGATTATACTGTTATTCCCCGATGTAAAATCTGAGGTAGTAGACATATATTCCTCTCGGTTGGCACCTACATGAACACTTTACAGTTGGTTTTATGACTGTAAGTCATTCTCTTCAAATGCTAGGCTAACACTTTACAATAAGGTTTATTAGTTAATGTATTAACTAACATGAACAAACCATGAGCAATAAGGTTCATTAGTTAATGTATTAACTAACATGAACAAACCATGAGCAATACATTTGTTACTGTATTTATTAATCTTTCTTAACGTTAGTTAAGAAAAAATACAGCTGTTCATTGTTTGTTCATGTTAGTTCACAGTGCATTAACTAATGTTAACAAGATTTTAATAAAGTATTAGTAAATGTTGAAATTAACATTAACAAAGATTAATAAATGCTGTATACGTGCAGTATATTATTAGTTCATGCTAACTAATGTTAACTAATAAACCTTATTGTAAAGTGTTACCGAAGTTAGAAACGTGTGTACCAATGCCGTATGTAACTTTAGAGACGGTTTCTAAATGTGCGAATATCGAATATCCAGTGTCATGCCAACTTTATGCCAGTATTTTACTTTGAATCGCTTAGCGTGAAACTTTGCGCATTACATTCATATTCTGAGTCTGCTTTGCCTGTTACTGTATAGTATAGCCTACATCCCCAATAAGGTGCGAGTTTGGTCTTTTACATCACTGTATTAGTCCATTAAGCATTAAGAGGCCTGACCGCAAGGGAATCCTGGAGAATGACTTATTGAGGGAATCCCCAGTTTTGCAGCACAGCGCTGCATTATAAAGTTAAGAAAACTAAACAACCGAGAGGAATATATGTCTACTACCTCAGATTTAACGTTTTATCTGTACATCGGGGTAGTTAGTCGACATCACTAAGGAATAAACCGAGAGGAATATATGTCTACTACCTCAGATTTAACGTTTTATCTGTACATCGGGGTAGTTAGTCGATTACAGTATAATCTTGTTCACGGTAGAGAAAGCTGCTTACTGTACATGTGCAAAACTAACTGTGAAGACTTAAATGTAAAAACAGCTTTTGTGTCTTTATCAGCTTTTCCATATATAAACTGGTCCTGATAATCATCACAAATACTTACCACTTGCTCCATTTCTGTAAATCCGTTTTCGTGAATGAATGACTCTCTCACCCGTTGCTCTAGTCTTCTTCGTCAACACGCACTTGCACCCCCTGCTGGTGATGTCGACTAACAGCTATGGAGATTATCAATCGACAATCTACTGATATTCCTGCCGTTTCTGGATGTCAAATGTTGAATATATCTGTCGAATTTGAACCACTGAATTTGTGGAAGCGAATTTGTAAAGCAAAATAAAATGGCCCGAAAATTGCCTGTCGAAGATTATAGGTTGTATTTTTTAAACAGAATGAAAATTTTGGAAGTGAAATCTGAAAGGTGAATATGGATTATTGAATTTTTAATAATGAAAACGTGTGTGAAATGTTTTGAATTGAAATATTCACAGCTTAAATATACAACCATGTTGAATTTCAGCCCGTAAAAATGCAAGCCCTAAAAACACAATGCATTAAAATGCAAGCAGGGTTAATGCAATGCATATTTTTTCAAGTAGTGCAATTCAACAAGCTTTTTTGTTTCGAAAACATTTGTCATTATTTTACTTCAATACTATGCTACTCACACACAGTATGTTTACACGGACAGCAATATTCCGATATTAAGCCGATTAAAGCCACACTTATAGCATTTGCACGTATAGCATAACAAATAATTAACTGAAAATTGTAAAAAGTAAAATTTTAAAAAGAAACACCCAGAACTGTATATGGTACCATAAAGAAGATGAACAGTATGTTGATACAGAGGGAACGTCGAACTGCGTGGCATGGTGACGTAATGACGTGTGCCATTAATCAATCTATATTCTATAACATGTAAAACGGGAACATTAAAAGGAATATTCTACATGCAACTCATGTAAACACCTTAATCAGAATATTGTCTTATTCAGAATAAGGTCACGTCCATCTAATGGAGTAATACTGTAACTTTCACTGAAGTTGAAATCACAATCACTAATGCCTGGCTCACACTACAGGAGTTTTAGGCCGATTTATGCCCGATTTTCCCCTCACGAGAATCGGTTCCGATGTTCGGCGCAGATTATCTGGTAATGTGAGGCTTTCACAGATCGAATCTTGCACCTCCCGATCTGCTCTCACACAAATCGGGCTCGCCCCGATCCTATCAAACATGTTTGATATTTATCGGGATGAGCAAGATTGTGATTACCGGTACGTCAGTAGGCTACTGTCTCAATAGCCAATAAGAAACAATTGGGCTGTCGTGGTGAAGGAATTTCCATGTTTGTAATTTTGCTTAATAAATAAGTGTTACGCTGTGGTCAGCAGGCACGAAGACGAGTAGCCTACATGTTCAGTAATGAAACCGAAACTAAAAAGCGCATTGAAACGAAGTGGAGTAAACAGAAGATACAATGTCAACATATGGGTCCACATAATATAATAACAGAACATAAACCTGACAATAAGCTTTTTAGGCCATTGTTATATAACAGTTAGTTTCGATCCTCGAATCTCACTTTACTAAAGGCTTTCTGCTGATATTTTACCACTCGGCATTGCTCGTCTCTGCGTGTTTTAGACAGGCTGTCGCTCAGTCCAGTTACATTGTTACGCCACTAGGTGGCGGCAAAGGACTGTCTTTGAGTGAGTCATTAAACTGTTCATTCAACGGAAATGTTAAAAAAATGCGGATTCGTTCAAATATAGATGTAATGTAACGAGCTGTTAATTATTTTAATATTTAATTTTAACTTTGAGCTCCACTTTACAAGGCTCAGCTGAGCAGCAATGCGGTGCATGGGCAACGCGAAGCTGATGCTTCACTTCATAGAGATCAATGGCATTTTTTCATTGTATTGACCAGAGCTGACGCCATTCATTAGAAATACCTTAACCTTAAATGTTAAAAGGATGATTTAAAAAAAAAAAATCTCTTTCCTTGGTCACGGCAACCTTTTCACAAATATGACTTGATATGAGGGACAGATATTTTGTTTACATCCGCTTTTCTGCTTCCGATCTGCTGCGTGAGATCACGTGAGGCACTTCCTCTGGCACGATAATCTTAATAACATTGTGTAGTGTGTGATGCGCTGCGATTTTCAAATCTTGTAGTGTGAGCATGTTTAAGATTTGAGGGAAGAAAATCTGCAAAGATTCTCCTTGTGAGCTGCAACCAGATTTCAAAATTGGTTAGGATTTTAAAACTCCTGTAGTGTGAGCCAGGCATTACAAACCCTTTCTTAATACCAAATATGGCATATTATTTACATAAAATAAAATATTATTTATTGAACAATAATATTTAAATTGTAATGGATATGGTCTTTGGTCTTGGCAGAATAGATCTGCTACGCTGCTGCTGCAGAGCAAGTACCGAGACTTGCTGCCAATACATTCACAGACATTGCTGTGAGCATGTAAGACATGCTGCTTCTGCACATGTAACATACATGAATTAACCCCCACAGCAAAATCTGTTGGAACTATTTTTCTATTTTATTTAACTATTTGAAAAAAATAGTAGTAGTAGTATTATTACATTGAGACGTAGCTAAATCTACTGTACAACAGTAGTCTAATATAGTTATTTCTGTCAATTTCAAGTTAAACCAAATTTTGACGGGTTGCCGTGAATACCTTTGAGTTTCTGTGTGTGTATAATATGACGTTAGTTTTTCCTCAAATAAAACAACAAAATGCTCATTAAGTGACTCTCAGAGCGGCTCTGGAGATGAAGTTCATGCATTCATGTCCTCATATCATGAGGCAGCAAATACTGAAAACACTGCGAGTGTCATGCATGCTTCAGACAAGCGGAACATGATTAATATTTAAAGGTCCCATATTGTACACCTTTCTAAATTTATTTTAGGTTTTGATGTCCTTAAGAATATATATTTGTGGAATTAGTACCAAAAACCATCTCAATATATTTGTACAGCTCCTTTCTCAGCAGCTCTGCCAAGAACAGGTCGATTTTGGCCTGTCTAATTAATATTCATGAGCCTCTCCTCTGATTGGCCTGTTGTTTTCTGAGTGACGCACGGCCAGGCCAACCACAAGTAACTAGGGTCATGTATGCTGTAGCTTGCTGTGGCTTGGTGATGCTCGCAAGTAAGGTAAATAAAACACCTGTAATAATGGTGATAAATTATTTGTTATTAAAACATAAACATTCACAAACCACTGTTAATTTAACATAAAAGCAAGCATAGGCTACTGCGTGCATGGTTTGGCAGTGTGCTCCCTTAATAATTCCTAAAAAGCTGACATCAGTTCATCGCGATCTCACAAAGCTCCATTATTATCAATGAAGCTGACTGCACAATAAATCTTTCATAATTTCATCACTTCGTTTGTTATAATCAGAGGATTTGCCAGCATGCAGAATTCAGCACTGAACAAAAATTTTGTTTTGAGCGGTGAGTGGATTTTATCATAAATGCATCTCATTGGCCATTGCGTTGAAGAAATCAACACATTTGTCTGTGATTGGCTACATTGCTCAATGCTGCAAACATGTTATAAATAGAAACTTGTTCTGGCCTGTAAATCATTTTTATTTAGTTTTAGTTATTCTTGTTGCTTTTGTGCAACATATGAATAACAATTTATTTGTTTTTAGATGTTTTATTTTTAGATATTTCTATTTTGCGGCAGTCCCGCAAATCGTTTTATTCTCCCACAACCCGCACACGGCCATCAAATCTGCACTCGGGAGTGCAGGTCTCTACATCCATCGACTGAACAGCATTTTCTCAACATGTTTCCGTGTTGTTGTTGCTCAGCATCGATGTTGTCGGGGGGTTGGGCAAAAGGAGGGAGAGACGGTGGGCAGTGCTCGGCGTGGTGACTGAGTAGTTCTGACATCACGTTTTTACGGAAGTCACAACGGCTCGTGAAAAGGCACAGCTACTTTATGCAGGCTGTGTGCATTTGTCTGTGGATTGACTGTTTTGAAACATATATGGTTGTTACATAGCCCCTAGACCTGTTGTCATGAAAAAAGCCAGGAAATTTCATTTTTGACAATATGGGACATTTAAATAGTCTTTTTGCGGTTTTATATTCACAGATACTAGTATATATCGTGGTATACATCGGCTACAGTACTCCTAGTAAAAAAGTTAGTCTGGAGCCCCGCGCTTAGATAAACACGGAAGCGGCTGAAAGCCGCTGCCTATTAGTGGGTACCGAATATACCCGGTACGCAGTACGTGGTATTTTCACATTAAAAAAATTTCAGTACCGACTTGGTACCGAAGTACCGGTACTTTTGACAACCCTAGAAATGCATGCTATGTGTTCTCGTGAACAATAGTCTATAGATATAACGATGCAAGCTGACAGAGGAACCCAGTAACCACCTGAGCAAGTATCATCAATAAGTAATTTGATAATGATTACAAAACCTTTATACTCTTATTATTTGATTAATTAAAAGCCATTAGGAGCGATAATGAATGACAGGAGCATGCTCTGACGCTGCATCGACATGTTAAGCATATCTAATGAAAACATTACCCTTAAAATAAAAGAGAGGTTTTTTTTACTTAACTTGAACCTTCTCATCCATATCAGGCAGTCAGGTTTCATATAGCGGTTATGAGCGTGACGTCACCTAATCACACTGATTGGCAAAAAGACTGAGCATTTGTTTTCAGCGTGAAAAAATGCTGCACAAAACACACAAAACACAACTAAAACGGGAAAGAGCTTTGAGATTGACTGTACAGATAGATTTGACAAGAAATCTGAGGTATATTTTTACAGACTGTAAAAATGTTGAATTTTGGGGTAAAATCATACTCTATATTTTGTATTGTTATATATTGTATTGACAATTCCTCAATTAAATATTTACCATTGTATATTCTGCATAATTGGATGTTTTTAAATAAACACTGACAAAAACTATACAAGTTTTAGGCCTGGGCAATAGGGACGATATTTATAGCATTGATATAAGTGATCACCGGGATTTAGACCTACCTATATTTTATTTATATAAAGCATTCACAGTCAAATTTGCTTTATGTATTTCCCTGGCGTCGAAATCAGGCACATACAAATATCAGGAAACATGATTCCTGGCTGCATGTCAATATCCATGGATCACTGGATCTTTGTTAAGTTGTTAAGGAACACTGTATCGAGTCCAACCTTTAGTTTAAACTGATAATGGTTTGTTTTACTCACGTTTTCGCAGTTTCCCCTATTAAATCCAGTCATGCAGCAGCTATTTTGCCACTCAGTCCAGCTGATCCATTACATACCTACTATTACAAAATGTATTTTTAACTACTTTATAATCAAAACCTTTTTTTTTTAATCTTGACAAAACATATTGCTGGAAAGGTCTGAGTCTCAAGTTTCCATGTTTGGTGTCTGTTTTGTGATAGAAGTGAAATTTGGATAGAAATTGAGTAATTTGTTACAGGAGAACCCATCAAAAAAATGTCAATGGAATGTGGGTGACACCCGGTGGATAATTTTGGTGCAGCGCCTAAACAATCTTATAGGAACTTCAATTTTTGTGAAATCAACTTCAAATTTTATGATATAGACATATGGCTTTAATTTTTTTGTAATTTTATAGTAAAAATTATTTTGTAAAATATATATATTATATAAAATAAAATAAAATATTTTGTACAGTACATTTGATTTACAGGCAATTTAAACTTCCAAAATGTTTTCATATTTTCATTTTTTTAAAATGTTCAATAGTCTGTGTCTTCTTTAAAACAAGACCAAACTTAGGTATATATTCCAAAGCATTCTTGAATAACAACCATTTAAGTTTGGAAAGTGCATTTTCACATCTATTCTCCAAAAGGGGGTGACAGTTAAGGGGTTAAAAATTACCACGGTAAAACAGAGTTCCAAAGGTAATTTTAACTGTCATCAATCAAACCGTAACCACTTCTGATACCTAAAATAATTTTTACAGGCGATTTAAAGCCCTTACACTGTAAAAGCAAACTAATTAAATTATCTGCAGCACATACTTACATTGATGTTTGTTAAAAACATGACTTCAGACCCCCCTTGTAAATTTAGCACTTTTGGAAAATTCTTGGGGGGCCTGTGCCCCAGTAGTGATCAAACTCTATCTAACTGTATCGACTCAATCATTAAGACTGTCTATGCCGCCATCTAATGGCATAATAATGTAACTTTCACTGAAGTCGAAATCACAATCACTAACGGACCATTTCCTCTTTATAAAATAAAATATTATTTGTTGAACAAATAATATTTAAATGAACAACAATGGCCATTATAAAAGTATAGGAAGTTTTTACAATAGGAAATAAACAAGTAAACAGTTCAGCCAAAAGTACAAAAGCAGTGCTCTATATTAGTACAGGAAATAAGTTACATAAAACTTAATTGTGAACTTTTATAAAGATATGTTTGGTCATTAACTTTTAAATGTATCATTATGCAAAAACACATAAGGAGAGTTATCCACATTAAAGATCAACTAATGCTAATACATTTCAAAAAATGCTAATACATTTCTGTCCAATACAGTAGGACATTAAATTGAATGTGAAGGATTTTAACTGTGACACGATGATTGACAGGGTAGTTTAAACGGTGACAGGATCTACATAACTGAGCGACAGAGTGGTCCGTTAAAGACGCAATTATGATGAATTAGTATGTCCCAAAGCTTGCCTACTAATCTGATACAAACTCAAAAGTATGTACTTTTTCTTCTCAAAATCAGTACAGAATTTTAGGGTGTAGTATAAGTAGGCAAATTGAGACGCAGCATTAATAAATTCTTAAATTCAACAATCATTTTGTAAAATTAAAATTTAAAACAGATTTAATTTTTTTTTTTTTAAATGATAGAACAAATAAATAGCATATACAGTATATATTAATTATCTTTTATTGAGCAAAACTATCATATGAAAGGTTCCAATACAGAGCGGCACTAAATGAATATGATGATATGCTTAAAGCACATGGAGTCCCAGGTATATGTTATATTGTGTGCGTGTGTGTGCAACACTGAGAGTATCTGTCTGTCCAACTGTTTACTGAAACTTTTTCATTGAGTTTTATATTCCAATTACTGTGTGAATGACGAGTTTTATTCAGTCCTTTCATCTGATAGTGAGCACCACACCATTCAGAATCACCAATAAACTCATTTTAAACAAAAGCCCTGACCTTTATGTTCAGATTATGCATAATAATGGGAACATTGGAACATCTTGGAGAGAGATTTACTGTGCTGACTGTAGTAAATGTATGTGACACTGTTTGAAGATGCTGAATGGAGAATGACATTTGACAGCTGCTGCGAATGAAACCGTTTCTGTGAACTTCAATTTATCTGTTCCTCAAATAAAGCAATTTAATGGCTTCAGAACACCTGGAATATAATTCACTAAACCTTTTGTGGTGCTTTTTTGTCCTTTTGTTTGAGCTTGACTGGATCAGTCTTGTCTGACTGTTACCCGATCTGGCAAAACTCAGATACTGAGTATCAGATCGGTGCATCCCTAGTTGTATGTACTCTTGGGTACCTAGCTCAAGATTTAAGTGTGATTAGTTCAAGTGTGTAATAATGTTTTGACCAAAGTCTACCTTCTATATCTGTCTAGACGGAGCATGTGATGATAGAGAGTCATTCCCAACCCATCTGTCTGGAAGCTGGAGTTAAAGCTGGCATCTACCTTAAGAACTGTGATCCCATCAATACTTTTCAAAAATGGCAGTTCACACATTACTACGCTCAGTGAGATGCTCCAGAATATCACTCACATGGTCTCCATCACAATTTTCTCCTTCTTTATTTTTTTTTTTTATTTTTATTTTTTTTTAAATATGTGTGGTTTGAGGAAAAGGTTTTGTGTAAGGTCCAAATGTGTAGATGTGCATTTGTTGTTTGATTCTTTTAATTTTTTTTATTTTGTTATTTTACATTTTTACTCATAATTGTTTGGGGATTGATTCAGGTGTCTCTTGGCCAATTCAGATTATTCATATTTTAGGATTTTTGTGAGAATTACTTTTGGATATTGATATCAAATTACACACAGGGGTTTTGTACAATAAAAAACATTTTTAAAAACCCATCTGAGGATTTTTTACAAGTTCAAATTGTCTCTGTACACTATCAAGGATTTCATTTTTCACATCTTGTTGAAGTGGGTATGAAATTACTGACTTTAAAATCGTATTGTGTATTTCCAAGTGAAACTGCTTTTTGGACAAGAACAAAAATGTAGATTGGATTGTGAAAAGTGAGTGTTGCATCCTCTAAGGGCCACTGGCCCAACGACTTAATCCAATGGTGTGGCTGAAGGTTTTCTGCGCATTCTGTATTTTCCTTGCACTGCTGTGCATAAGTTATTGCAGTTTAAGTTATTTAGTTCTAATTAAATCACTGTTTGACTCCATTTTATCATGACCTTGAATTTAGGTTGGAATGCCAATTGATAATTGGTCATTTACATAATAATTTATCTTGACATTTTTGAGTTTCCAATCTTAGATAACTTGCCGGTATTGGTCAAGTTAGAAGTACAATATTACTGACAATATTATTTAGATGGCAGTCCATGTTTGCTTTTTTTTCAAAAAGTACTTTGTTTAGTCCCTTTAGATAGTAGACACTAACATTATTTCTAGTCGGAAGTCAATTTGCAAAGATAGACCAATATTAATTTGTCTAATTATTTCAGAGTAGATAAGAATAAAATGAAATGTAACACTTTCTTATTAGTCAGGTAAACGTGTATCATGCCAGTTGCATAATTGATTCAAAGATACTCGATACAAAACATCAAACGCTCAAACCTAAAGTTAAGAGTAGAAGATACCTGACATCAGAAAGCTACATAGTGCTGACTGTATGGAATGCACTCCATACTGGGCTTCTGGCTACAGCATCACCATGAGCCTTTTGCAACCTTTTACTTAAAGGGTCATGAAACCCTAAACCAAATTTTCTGAGATTTTAACAGAGGTATGTGTGTTGAACAACATTGAAGACAATGTTAGCATCTGTTAGATTTAATAGTAGGGCGAAAATGGTTAAATTTTTTTTTTTTCCAGCTATTTTCGTCTTCCGGGTTTAAAATCTTCATCGCAGGCTGTGACGTGGCAGTGCACAGTGTAGTGCGTTGATGACTCATCGGTCTCTCATAATTATTAATGAGACTGAATTTTTATATCCTATGAGAAGACACTGTCTCTTAATTATTCATGACACCACGTGGATCTTTCCACAGACATGTCAAACTGTGATATCGCGTACGGGTAGTAAAGGAGAGAGACAATCATGGGACGCAAGTGCCGCAAACATTTTACCCGAGAGAGCTTCGAGAATTGGAGAATGGTGGACTTCGGCCTTGTCGATGACCAATGCAAGTTACGTCTTGCGAGTAATGCGGTACCAAGTCCTGAGGACTTTTCTATCCCTTCAGAGTGTGTGTCTAAAATGTAACCCTGGTCATTTTACTTGCCTTTTGTTAAATAAGCGGTCGTTATGAACATTTTAGATATTTCGATAATATATCAATTGTATGCTTAATGCGGGAGACTTGTGAATGTGTAGTATTGACGTGCGAGCCGGGCGACACCGTGTTGTGTGTGTGTGTGTGTGTGTACGTGCAGGCAGGCGAGCCTGCGAAATGATTCGGGGTCAGAGAGAGAAGCGGTAGGATGTGTGTTTGGACGAACGACTGAAAACTCTGAGATTATTGTTCATTATTGATCGTACATTGTACAGAGGTCAAAATTATTGTACAAATACGATAATTATCGTACATCTGGCAACACTGCTGGCTGATGACAGTTCCCCCTCTCCCCTACCGTGCCACACCCACTCCCTCACTTCTTCTCACAGCCATCCACGCCCATTTAAGTTGCATTTTTCAAAAAGATTATGAGCTAGACTTGAGCTGATAGAGGGGGGTTTCATGACCCTTTAAGTGCCCAGACCAACACACAACATTCTACAAATGGAGACATGTACTAACAATTTTTGCATTAAATGAGTAGTTCACTTTAAAATGAAAATTACCCCATGATTTATTCACCCTCAAGCCATCCTAGGTGTATATGACTTTCTTCTTTCAGACAAAAACAATCTGATTTATATTAATAAACACCATGACGCTTCCGGGCTTTATAATGGCAGTGGATTGCAACCATCAGTTTGAAGCTCAAAAAAGTGCATCTATCCATCATAAACGAACTCCACACGGCTCCAAGGGGTTAATAAAGGCCTTCTGAGGCAAAGCGATGAGTATTATGTCATATGCTCTCATTGACAAATGCGGAACAGTTAGTTTATGTGTTCATGACATCAAGGCTAGATTATTGTAATGCTATTATGGGTGGTTGCCCTGCACGCTTAATAAACAAATTACAGCAAAACGCAGCAGCTTCGAGTTCTTACTAGAACCAGGAAGTATGACCATATTAGCCCGGTTATGTCAACACTGCATTGGCTCCCTATTAAAGGGTCACTTCACCCATTTCAACATTAATCTTAATTGAAAGTGGGTTATATATGTAGTCGAAATGTAAAAGAAATTTTGATTTTGGTGCCCTCTTGACCAAGAAAAGACAGAAAATAACTTTAGGGCGCATTTGTATGTAAGACAACAACTCCCACAATGCACCACGTTGCACAGCTCCGCAAGCCACTCCCACTAATCCAGAACAGCAGCGCAAACATCAGAGAAATCACTCTTCCGTCTACAAGGCTAACGTTAGCTGCCAAATGAGTTTGAAATTCATTTCACACAAAATGTCTAGTTAGTTGGCTGTGGCGAGTAGGACGAGGGCGAGGGACGTGAGAGGACGACGCGAGTGATGAATGACACCTGTGCAGCGGTCTCATATCTCTCACGGAGGAGCGGAAGCACAAAAGGAACAGGCCTGATTTTATGTTTTGTTTCTGTTGTGTGTGGCCAGCTGGCTTATACTTTTGTTTTGTATTTGTTTGTTTTACTATTAAAATGTTTAAATGTTCGCCGGTTCCCGCTAGTGATGGCCAAATGAAGCGTTTCGAAGCATTATTGCTTTCCGATACAATTGACCGTTCGCAAAAGCCACGCCCCCTAGTTATTGTTGCTACGCCCGTCAAACAAATGGTCAAACACGACCAGCGCCACAGATTGCCATGACGGGAAGAGGTGCGTCAGTGACCTTTTTTGGAGCAAAACCTCCGCGATATCCTCCAGATCGAGGCAAAAGGGGTTACAGTATGCAGTGGAGGGATATATTCAAAATATAAAAATACGCAATGAAGGAGACACGACTACTATCGAGCCTAATAATCCTCTCAAGCTCTCAAACCAGTCTCAAGCGAAATCTGAGAAACCCCATGACCTGTAGCTGCTAACGTTACCTCAAATGCAACCAGCACAGCCTTGAAGAAGATTTTATAAGCTGTTTCAGTGGCTAATTGTTTGGAGTTAGAAATATATAACTCGCGCTGCATATTTAGTAATTTTGCCTCAGATACAGGATTATTCATTCGCTTTAACAAGCAGGTTGTTCATTACCACGGCAACCGCTTGCGTGTCATGCTGAATGCGATTTTCGTGTTTAAAAAGTAACTAGCTATACATAATAGACGGAGAGATGCAGATAACCAATCATTATTTCTATTCGTTACGATATTGATATGAACTGATGTTGTCAAGTAAGCTTCACGCGTTCCCCGTTGCGAACGTGCACTCCTCAGTCTAAACTGTAGTCTACAGGTGCTGCTGCTCATTTCCCCCCGAAAATATCATGTTAACAACAACACTTTAGAAAACGTACTTCCTTTGTGGATCCTCTTGATCTGCTTTCTCCATGTGTCTTTGACTAATCTCATTGTCTCAGTCTCACGCACGCTGCACGCGAGTTAACCATGTTCGACACATGTAACTGGGAGTGGGGCCGTCCACACTGTTTTATCCATTGTAGGGACAGCGCACGTTGTGTTTTCGGCTTTTGAAACGGAAAGAACACAACTCCTCCAGACAATCTCTCGGGGTATCTAGTGTCCGATTTACAAACGCCGTGGGCGCACCGCTTCACCATCTTGCTTGGAGTCAATGCTTGACGGACCTGCTCACATAGTAACGGTTGCTATGATGTGTGATTGGACAATAGCCGTTTTGGGGGAGGGGCCTGCGAACGGTCAATTGTGTCGAAAACATAGACAGTAAAAGAAATGGACAGAGCCATCTCATTGGAACTCAGTTGAGACAGTTGAAGCCCATTTTTAGCGATTTTTGAGCACTTCCGTTCCTGACGCGCAGACTCAAACCGACTCAAACTAAGCTTGATGACGTGAGCAACCTGTCTGAGACGTTAATCTTCTAGTAGCTGTGCCAAGAGGAATCTGAATCATTCCCTTCCGAAACTTGCAGAGCCGGAGATCGTGAGTATTAGCTGTCCATGAGCTCGCAGCAGGAGCAGCTTTACAACTCTCTATGGGCTTCTCCCTTGACTTTATGCCTCGACGTCCCCCCGATTGCGCGCGAGTTTCTACTTCTGTCTATACGGTAATTTCTGTACAGCGCGACAGAGAGTCGAGTGGTTATGACGCAATCGTTAGCCTATTTTTACTAAATCTGTTTCTACGGGGCCATAATGTAACATAGAAGGTAATGGAGCCTTTTATACATTGTCGTATTTCTTTAGAAATAAATAATGGACAAATTGAGTCTTTAAACGCCTCAGATGTAAAGTTATTCGCTGTCAAAGTGACGCCAAAATGAATGGGAGTCAATGGAAATGCTAACGCAAGTGAAGTTCTGCTACAAGATGGCGGCACCCGGCCGACTTCAACTTCCGGTC